TGTATTTGTCTTACAGCGCTTTAAAAGTGTCTGACGAATGAGAATCTCCTTAGATGGAAGAACAGTGTGTTGTTATTGTGTTTTTAACATCATGAAGTTGTTCTCTGGAACCTACCAGATTGTTCTGAGTGCCTGTAAACCCTTTGCCGAAACTTCCTGCCCCTTGCTGAGAACAGAGGAGGTGCTTTAGCGATCAGTCACGGGTGTGCCTGGTATATTTTGTAAGGTGCCCACGTCCCCTCACCAGACATCTCTCTGCTCCTGCAGTTGTTACTGATCGTGATCGGCGCTGTGACAGTGGTCTCCGTGTTGCTGCCGTACATCTTCCTGGCAACGGTGCCTGTGATCGTGGCGTTTGTCTTACTGAGAGCCTACTTCCTCCACACCTCTCAGCAGCTCAAACAACTGGAGTCAGAAGGTATGCTGACGGCAGGAGAGTGCTCCTCCACCTGGAACCCAGTGCCGTTCTGAATTGGATTCCTCTATGGACCCCCTTCTCTATGAGTTTTCTCTTCCTGGTTTTGCACTCCCAAAGTATGCAACCCTGGCGATGTCTGTGTAGGTAAAAGAAAAGAGTGAACTACAAGATAACCTATAGATTTTGGTCACGAATGACCATGTGATTTCACTGTGGTTTTAAAGCAAGCGTGTACAGTGTCCCGGGCAGAGTGGAAATCGAAACCAAATCCATTGCTTTGAGTCCATTCTGACTCATGGTAACCCTACGTGTTTGAGCAGAACGGCCCCGAGGGTTTTCTCAGCTGCGATCGTGAAGGAAGCAGATTGCCAGACTTTTCTTCCATCGCCTGCAGGTGCTTTTGATCAAATATACCCTGGGATGTCTGGCTCTCTAGTGAAACCTCTTGCGCCTTGTTAAGAACAGAACAGTCTGGGAGGAGCTTATTCAGAGATCAGTAACGTTTGGACCTTGTGTAGATTGCACTGGACCATGTTTCCTCAATGTTGGACAGTGTTGGGATGGATTTAGCAGGAGTGGGTTTGTCGGGGGATTTGGTTGGGGTTTGGACTATACCCTCATACAAGCTACATCAGGACTGGGGAACGTCCAGCCAGACATGAAAAATCTTCCATCTCAGCTAATGTTATACACCCCAACAAGGGGAAACAGTGCCAGCCGTCACATTAGGGGTGAGTCATGAAATGTTTGACCAAATAAGGCAGCCTAATTTTTAGGTTGATAATTTTGTGCTCAAATGATGTTATCAATACCCAAATGGCACCTGGAAGAAAAAAGATTCCCTGCCCTTGCTCTATACACTTGTTTTAAAACCAAAACGAAGTCATATGGTCTAAATTAGTGAAAATGATTGGTAATTTTGGTATTTACTATTTCCTTTTATATGCATACACATTGTAAGAACTACCAAGCTTTAGATTTGAAGTCAAACAAACAAACGAAATCTAAAGATCTAGGGTATTCATCTGTCATTTACTTTCATAAATTATGTTTAATAACAATAGTGCTTCTCGGACTAAAGACTTTTCTGGGTTTCTAGACAATGCTGGGCAGATGTCTGCCCTCTGGCTTTTTGTTTCAGACACCCAAGCTTTCGGTCTCCGAGACCACAGTGTGTGCTCCCAGATACCGCTCAGGCTGTCTGGAAGCACGTTTTCTTAGTAACAGGTCACGGGAAGGTACCTTTTCAAGGGATACCTTTCTAGTGTGCTTTGGCCTTAAAGATGATTAACTGGATTGACATAGAAATTGTTCTTACTTGGGGCATCTGAATAAATTGTCTTACAACAGAAAAACATTTTTCTTTCATCAGTGATTAATGTAGAATTAGCCAGAAAATGAATTAATGCCCAATGGTCGTCAAACGAAGAAATAACGGCAATCGTTCTAGTGAGGGTTCCTATCCATGGTAACCAAATCAAACAGAGAGTAGCTCATTTAAAAATATAACACAGTCCATCTATTAAAAGGAAACATCAGAGTCAAAAGTGGAAGCACAGCGAAAAAAAGTCCCTTAAAGAGATGGATTGGAACAGTGGCTGCAATAATGGGCTCAAACAGAAGAACAATTGTGAGGTGGCACAGGACTGGGCTGTGTTTCATTGCGGTGTGCATAGCAGGGCTCTGGGTTGGAAATGGCTCAAAGACACCTAACAACACAGTCAACAACCTGTAGCCACTGGCCTTGACTGTGCGGCTGCTCTTTAGTCTTTTCAGTATGAATTTGCATTCTGGATGTACATAATTTGTCTTGTTTTCTATGGGGATAATTCACAGCCAGGAGTCCAATTTTCACTCATCTCGTGACAAGCTTAAAAGGACTATGGACGCTCCGTGCCTTTGGACGCCAGCCTTACTTCGAAACCTTGTTCCACAAAGCTATGAATTTGCACACTGCTAACTGGTTCTTGTACCTGTCAACACTTCGCTGGTTCCAAATGAGAATAGAGATGATTTTTGTCATCTTCTTCATTGCTGTTACCTTCATTTCCATTTTGACAACAGGTACTGCCAATCGGTCAATTATTTACCTCTAAGTTTCACCGAAAACTTTGTCTATGTTTAAAATGTGACACTATTGGAGGTGAACATTTTTAGAATTTTTACAGTTTTTAAAAAAAAATAATGTATTCATTTGAAAACTATTAGTTTATTCTTCAGTGACTAATTTCTTGGAATATTTGTTGGTGTAATGTTGAACATGTGATTTCATTGAATTGGGGGTACATGTAGTATTAGCCCTTATTTATTGTCGGGGGAAAACACTGGAGACATGGACAGTGTTGGATAACAAATCTACAATTAAAGGGAAAAAAGCAATTCTTTCATTATCACATTGGTAGAAATGCCAACCTTCAAAACAGTAGGTCTCTTTATTAAAGAGTTTTTCATTATAATTGACTGCACATTCTTTGCCCCTCAGTTTTCTCAGTACTTACAGTACTCATAGTTTTGTGATGAATATTACATATGGTGATGTGTGTGAGGTACTTAGTATAGTGCCTGGGCCATAATGACCAGAGCCAAACCAAAACCATTGTCATCAAGTGGATGCTGACTCATAGGGAATGTAACGGACAGAGTAGAACGGCCACTGTGAGGTTCCAAAGCTGTACCTCTTAACGGGAGTAGAAAGCTCTGTCTTTCTCCAGTGGAACATCTGGTGGTTTTGAGCTGCTGACCTTGTAGCTTGCTGCCCAAGTTGTAACCACTGCACCATTAGGACACCTGGGCCATGGTTAAGTACACAGTATGTGCTGTCATGCTCATTATTATTATTAAAAGATCATATTATCCTAATATTAACCTCTAGAATGAGTAATATATTGGGGCTCTGGATAAATCTTACATGTTTGGGGTAAATGTTCCTGAAAGAAGACCGTAGTTGTCTATAGCTTGTCTTTTGCTGGAGGAAAGGTGCACACACAAA